TGAGATATTATCGTGTATAGCTCGTTCAAACGGAAGGTGAATTAAGATATGCGAATGCTAGAATACCAACAAAATATTTCCGACAGTCTTCTGGTAAGATTGTAACAATGCTATTGGTTCCCTTGCTTAATATTCTTTTTATAATGTTCGAAAAAATATTTTTATTATAGGCGTTTTTATTTGTGTAAAAATGAAGATTATATAAATACATGTTATCTATTGCTAACAATATTTTTGTTTGCATTTTTTTAGTTTTAAGCCCATATATTGCCTATTTTCAATGCATGTATTGTCAATTTTTAATGAATAGTTGTGGCATTTGATGTAACATTTAAAACAAACTAATATACTCATTAGGGTGGCTGTAATTCTTTTCTAGGTAATCATTTCCAAAGTTGCCACTTGTATAAAAAATACGATTGGCATGTATCATGAACCTTGGTGAGAGTGAAATAATGTACCTCTAGCGATACATGGCAAAAATTATTTTAACGCATTTTAATGAAAAATACGACTTTATCAGAAATAATAATTTCGCTTGTCTTATATTTTGCTCATATTTCTTTACAAATATTATCTAAATGAAGGTCGATGGATCCATAGTGAGCACAGCTCATCCAACAAAAATGCATTGGAGTTGAACAGGCCACGGAGGCTGTGCACGCTCTAAGATCTACAGTACCCTTCGGGCACTCGCGCTGCTGTAACAAGTACAACAATGGAACGTTTTTCATACTTACATCAAATGTTGCGTTTCAGTAGAGAATTCTGTCTAGATATTCGCTTATTGATACTTCATCGTTACAGTATAAACAGAGATTACCTTATCCGTTAGTTGAGTTGTGATAGTAAAGGTGTCTCTGTTGTACATCTTACAATGCGCGAGTTCTGGTATTAATTTTCCCGAATGGTAATGCTTGGTAGAACCGTCCTTTCGGGCAATCCTTGCAGCCGTAGCTTCACGACACTTAAAATTGCCTTTGCTCTAAATATATTCAATATAGTTAACTGACATATTGTTGTCAAGCCCAGGTATAGAAGTTGATAATATGTGGAATAAGTTTAGAAGGATGGCGACGAGTACACATTAAGGATTGCTTGCATCGTACTCGGATTAATACTAATTAACCAAGAGTTTCTCCAATGAATATATTTTTGAATTGGATACGATACTACGAGCAACTTTTATATTTGAACGAGATGAGCATTAAGTCGTTTGCGCAGAGCGAAAGTAACAAAGATATAAAATAATATAATAAGTAATAAAGAATATAAAATAACAGACATAAAACTTTAAAAAAGTAAATTAGAAAGAATCTAGGATTTCTTGGTCAAAGATTTGAAACGGAAGAATTAATTTTAACTTCGAAACGTTTCGTTTTTGATGAAATACTGATGATCCAAGCTGCAGTAGTTGACTGGGTTCCAAAGGTGTTTTGATCCCAGACCTTTGCAAAAACTTTCAATTGTCAAATCCTTAGTCATTAACTTTTATCCACTGAAATTAATAAAGAAGTTGATTGATGATTCCAGGTACACCAACTGCTATGGTTATTAGTCCCGTAAGTGGAGTAAATGTCCCTGGAGGGGGCGCTGATTCTATCCTCACTGAGTGGTGATACACGGCAAGAAACCCCTTGCAAGCAGACCTACATGCTGGGGACAAGCTATGCATTCCCGACTGGACTCCCAGCATGTGTGATAGTTTAGTGCCAGTATGTGTGGGGGCCAATAAGGGGTAAGGACAGGACAAGGAGGATGATTGCGCGCGGTTCTTGGCCCGCTTGATAGGGTCCTGATCCGGCACTCGCATGGTGCTAATCAAAGAAACGAAGGAAAAATTCCGATCAGCGCCGCCGGCCGCTAGAATTGTCCTCCAGGCAGCTGCTGAGTTTAACCCAGCAGCTCAACTCGTGTCGAAAATCCACCACCGACGCAATCGCACCCTAGGACCTTCCTGCCAGAGCAGCTACGGGGCAGCGTCGATGCTGCCTCTGAGCGGAAGTCATCAGGCAATAAATCATTTACAAATATACATTAAGACAAGTGCCATTTTAATTTACCACATTTAATTTCAAAATATGCGCTGACCCAATTAATTTCCCCAAACCACTGGCAATGTTTACGTTTATGATATAAATATGTAAATTAAACCTAGACCGCAAATAAAAATATAATTTTCTTTATTTAATAATTCGCATAAAATACAAGCTCATTAACAATTATAGTGAACAGAATTGTGCGAAACTGTGTCATTACTTCAATTAGTGCGTTAACAGAGCTTTTTGCTGTTTTAGCTACTCGCATTTTCCCAAAATACTTCATTGCAATGAAATCATTGCAAGGAGAATTATTTCTTTGTTGTGAAATTAGTCATAATATATTGCTATTTGATTTAATATAGGTTTTTAATTTTTGCAATGTCTTTATTTTTTATATTACTAGCTCTTTTTTAGTATATGTAAAAATAATAAATTTGTTTTCTGCTAGTTCTTGACTTATTTCATGGCGAGAAGAATTGTATTGGTTTCACAGTAAAATATAGATAAATAATCACTTGACATTGAATTTCGTATTTTTATCGCACGACCAGAAAGGCCCAATCAATAAATTATTAAAAACAAAAATTAAGTGAAAAATTTATCATGTTTCTGCGGACTTCTAATGTGCGTTTATGCTACATTATTTGTCCATAGTTGCTTAGTTTCACTGAAAATAACAAAGCATACACAGAAGTTTCTGCTTTCCATTTTTTATGCAAAAACATGAGTTCCTCGTTCCTGGTTCATTTTTGACGATGTAAGCGAGATAAAACATTAATTTTTTAGTACATTTGGTACTATGTATTGAAATTGTGTATATTTTGATACAATAAATAATAATAATAATAATAATAATAATAATAACAGTAGCAGTAATAATAATAAAAAGAACAACAATAAATAACAATGAAAATTAGTAATTTATATTTAAGTCATAACCACTACTAACTAGTCACATAATTTACGAACATTGTATTCACGTTTTATGCTCTCAAAAATTATTGGTAGCAATATTAGGTGAATGAAATTAATTTACAGTCATACGGCAACACAAGCACCACTGTGTACTGTGTCACTGCCTTGCAAACTGCATCACATATTTGCACTTCTTGAAAACCATATTCCGATAATATTTTTTTTTAGGACTATCATCATTTCAGGCATACTGTCCAGAAAGACGAATAATATATTCTTCAGTACACCGAATGAAAACTAGAACTTATCTGACCGTTATTTGATTGGAAAATGGAAACAGAGAAGTAATTGCCAATGAAAGAACTGAGTACTGCAAAGTAAACAAAACACTGGGGTGTCATATATCAACATGACTGCCGTCTCGCATATTAATACCTTGACCGATGGTTGACCTTGTGCAACGTTTCTTGAGCGATGGCTTGGAGAAATGCGGGTAGGGTGGGGGTATTTGTTACGAAATCGGCCATTAGATTTTATGAAGCAATATGAATCTCACGAGTATCAGTAATGCATCCGGAACTTTTTCAATAATTTGCTAACCTTTTTAAGAGTTCTAGGTATATTATGTGATGAATGAGTACAAACGTAGGCCATTTATTAAGATTTTTGGAGAAAAACACGAACATGAGTTCTGGCCGTTACTTTCAAATGTTTATTGTACTAGAGAGTGGGAAGGTAGGCCATCGGTCAAGAAAAGTTGCGGGAAATAACAAGATTATACGTTTGTAAATTTCCATATATTTGTGCTAAAAATATTGAACGCAACTCGATTGAAGGTGTCATTAACGTACTTATTTTAAAAAGCCGGACTCAGGTCCTATCGTCGCTTTGTTCATCAGCATTTATTCGTACGGCAAATATCTTCTTGTATGATATAGTTATACGTAAGAAGTTCTTCCTGTACTTCTTACGTATAACTATATCAGTCTATAATATTCTCATGAAGCCACTATACGTTTATGTTTTTTTCATCTAAAGAAACAGTAACTTTCTGCAACAAGCTGCGAACAATGTGTACGAAGAGAGGCTTTGCTCCGAAATGAGAGGCGGGCGCTGCCCCTGCTCGGTACAGCACTCGCGGGGCGCAGAGGGCTGCGTTGGGGCTGTGGATGCACGCGGGCGGCGGCGGCAGCGCTGGCGACGCCCACGTCTGCGCTGCTGGCCTGCAAACAAAAGCACGCCATTAGCCTCCAGGTGTAGTGCATGTTGTATCCGAGAGGTGGTGGTGTTCCTCTCCTGCAGAAACGTGAGTAGCGGCGCCGACAGGATTCCGCCTTGGTATCTTTCCTAAGTTCTAAATTCTAAGCTCTCAACCGGCATGTGTAGTACTGTAGTACACATGTGTATGAGTAAAGACGGCTCCCCACATTCGGCATTCGCCGAGTAGCGAGTGACTGCTCGCCCAATCCCCAGCAGCTAATAAGTTCGCTAACGCGTCATTAAGTTAATACCAATTAAAATAAATGAGAAATAAATAAATAAATAAATAAATAAATAAATAAATAAATAAATAAATAAATAAATAAATAAATA